GTTCCCCTCAATCACCATGGCTAGTAGCCACTGATGGATCTCTCCTCCATGAATCTATCTAATCCCCTTTGAAAGCTGTTTATTCCTGTGGCCATCACTCCATCCTCTGGCAGCGACTTCCACATTTTAATCACTCTCTGTGTAAAGTACTATTTACTTTTGTCTGCCCTGAACCTGCTGTCCATTGGTTTCATTGGATGTCTTTGAGTTCTAGTATATTGGGAGAGGGAGAAAAATTTCTCTTTGTCAACTCTCTCCATCCCATGCATAATTTTATAAACTTCTATCATGCCCCCCCCCCTAGTCATCTCCTTTTTAAACTGAAAAGTCCCAGACTCTTCAGTCTTGCCTCATAGGGAAGGTGCTCCAACCCCTTAATCATCTTGGTTGCCTTCCTCTACACTTTCCCCAGCTCTCTAGTGTTCAGGGGTTCCTGTGAGCTAGTATGACAGAGTTTAGCGAGTTGGGTGTAGGATTGGGGAGACTTGGAATTAAAGCTCATCTATGCTGTGACGCTCACTGGGCAACCTTGGGCAAGGCACATGCAACCTATAATTCACAGCCTTGCCCTAAAGATAAGTAGGAAAGGGCAAACCATATATGCCACCTGGAGCTCTTTGGAGGAAGGGCAATTTAAAAATGTAAAAGGTATCTCTGTTGAAGAGCTCCATCAATGCAGAAAGGTGATGTTCCAGGTACCTTGGTACATGGCCTACAGTGGTCACTGCAGTTGTCATCACAAAAGCCAAAATACGGAGGAACCTTCTTTCTCCTTGAATGGGTTTGCATTACTGTGCCTGTCCAGTGGGAGAAAAGCGTCCTTTGCCTCATGCAGTAGTAGGCCTGGCTCTTCATGGGAGGCGTAGGGAAGGTAGAATGAACAAAGGAGACGATGCCTCATCTGTCACGGCAACACTGGCAACAAAATTATTGTGGAGAAGGAAGGGAGCTAGCCAGAGGTTCTCCATCTGAACTTCCAGAATTCCATTTGGAAACTGCCATTGGCTAGTACAGTCCATGGACAAAGAGTGAAACCCTCTCTCTGGTGAAATCCGTTGCATTGGAAAAGAGAGGGAAACCCAATTCAGTTGAAGTAACCATGACAGTGACAGCAGTCATGGGTTCAGGGACTCTTGTCCTCCCCCCCCCCCCCGGAACTTCTTCGGGATTAGACAGGTATAGAAATAGCACCCCCATTCCTGTTTTGGCCCTTTAAAAGGTGCGGGGGGGGGGAATAAGAGCTCCTGGTGGCAGTATGTGTCTGATCCAGATTGGGTCCTTACGGCATTTTTAAAGAACTTCAGATGCTTTTAAAATGGCGTTGGTGGCCACGGGATTGACTCTGTCAGTTGTAGTTTGGCTCACAATTTTTGGTGCCTCCTTGATGCCCCTCAGACTTGTAGAGCCCTATGGCTAAACTACTGGTTTCCAGCTACAGCCATTGTGTTTACTAGCTAGTGTTCTGAGGTGAGTGTAGGTTGCAGTAATTGTACAAACTTCCTAAGTTTCAGAAGGGGGGGGGGATCAGATTCCATCCCTTTCCCCCAGGCAGAGAGTCTCTGCACCCGACTGCCCTTACAAAGGCGTCTAAGGCCCACTAGAGTACGCTCAGTGGCCTCCAGGTGACCTCCCAGTTCCTAGTTTGAAAAACACGGAGATAGACCATAGTTGTTGAGATGGAGATGGACCCAGAACCATCCTCTATCTCCAAATCAATTCACAGGGTTCTGGTTGGGGGGGGGGGTATCCTGGTTTTTTAAATTTGTATTTTAGCTTAATTTCACACTGCTAGCGATGTACACATTTGTGAGAGGGGAGGGATGGTGTAAATATTGAGCATCTTGGGTAAAAGACTTCTTGGGTCTGACTTCTTGTTCTCTTGCAGAGGAGAAGCAAAAAAAAAAAAAAAAAAAAAAGCTTAGGTGCTAAAATAGCTTGAAAGAGAATTGCTTTTTTCCCCCAGCCACCCTCTATTTCCATATGCTCTATTCAGTTAAGATGCAGGAGGAATATAATGAAATATAAATATAAGATGTGAGTACTGGCGGGGGGGAGGGGGCTCCAGAGTTGGACGCTTGTGTTTATATGGAGCTAGTTTGACCGTAAATAACTTAAGGGTTTCGGGACTGTTCCATCATCTGTATTTTCAGTCAAATGCTGTCAGTGGGCATTAATCCCGAGGTGGGGGGGAGAGCCAGGGGGAGGGGTCTCCACAAATAAACAGCCCAATTTTCCTTCAGGAGCAGAGCTAATTCCTTTCAATCCACTTTTTTATTACGCCATTTTCCCTCACTCTATTTAGTGAGCATAAGGATAAATTTCCAAAGCTACCCGGTTGGAAAATAAATGGGTTCGCTGTTTGTCTAGCATTCCAATCTTTACAAATGTAAATCAGTCCCAACTGCTGCTCCATTTAAAACCTCACAACTTCACAAAACATTAAAGGCCTCCTTTCAATACACAATTTACTCTGTGACAATTCCCTCAGATTTCTGCTTCAAACATCATTAGAAACTGACTGATAAAAAAAGGAGGGTGGGGGGGGGAATGCCTATTGAAGGTCAGGGGGGTCAGCGTGTGTAATTATATGTAGTTTTACTGGGTCAACTACACCAGACATTGCTATTTGAAGGTTAAATTGTTACAATTAAATACATATACAGCCTATTCCCCTAGCTACTCTGTTGTTAAATCTACCGTAAACAACACGCACATTTATTTCGGCTCTTAATTGTGTCCAAGATGTCATTGCTTGGAAGTTATATGGCAAAAAGGAACATTGTAATCCATTACCGAATTAAACAATACTTTCTAGAGTAAAATGGGTAATTAGCTGAAGGGAACTAGTTTTCATCTATCCGCATCAGTGCTAAGCGGTTCATTTGGGTTACTCTCTTTGGTTTAATTGGAATGCTGAGAGGAGCTCCATCCAATATGTGGGGGTTTTTTTTCTCTCTTTTTTCCCAGAGAGAGCCTTCGCCACAAACAGAATATGACATTCCCCCACCCACCCATGCAAAAGTCATACATTAGTGACACTCTTCTGCATGCCAGAGGGGGGACCCCTTGTGGTGTGTCCCCCCCCTTTTCCTCTAACATGTGTTTTAAAAGAGCTCTTATATTTTTTAAAAATGAACCATTGTCAAAGCAGCCCCACGTACTCATGCCCCACTTGCTGTGGAGTTTGTTTAAATCTGCAGACAAAGCGGTGATTGGCATGACCCTGAAAGAGGCCCAGGACGTTTACTGATGAGGACGTGGGTGACATTGAGGGGTGTGGCGATGCCTAATGTTCTCCTCTGTTGCCTTCATAGAAGGCCAGTGGTGGCCCAGTAAAATACTGGGTACGCTGCACGTCCAAGTGCAGTGCATTCCACATTTCTCACAGGAGTTACTTCGTTTTAAAAATATTTTTATCTAGCCAGAATTACAAAACCAACCAGGCTTGGTTCCCCACTCCTCCACATGAAGCCAGCTGGGTGACCTTGGGCCAGTCTCAGTTCTCTCAGCCCCTAAAAACAAGTCTAGCTTGCCACACACAAGAGCCAGAACTCACAGCTGCCAGGCAATCCTAGGATCTCCTGGCTATTCCACACACAATGACATCATCATCATCATTATTATTCCAAGATAAAATAATATCCATTGTTTTGGAGGTGAGTAGGAACTAGGTAGGAGCTGCGGTGGCTCAAGTGGTTAAGACGCTGAACTGCAGGCTGTGGAAGGTCAGTAGTTCAGCAGTTCGAGACCCAGGTGCCGCATGACGGAGTGAGCTCCCATCTCTAGTTCCAGCTCCTGCCAACCCAGCAGTTCGAAAGCAAGAAATTGCAAGTAGATAAATAGGTACCACTTTGGTGGGAAGGTAACAGCGTTCCGTGCGCCTTGGTGTTTAGTCATGCCGGCCACATGACCACGGAAACATCTTCGGACAGCGCTGGCTCTTCGGCTTTGAAACGGAGATGAGCACCGCAACCCTAGAGTCGGATTCGACTGGCTTTCGAGCAAGGGAACCTTTTCCTTTACTTAAGGAACTAGGCGTATGGCCTTTTTGGTTGTGGCACCCCAGCTTTGCAATGCCCTTCCTTAGGATGTTTGCCTACTGCCAAATCTGTTGCCTTTCCAGTACCAGGTACACTTATATTTACCCAGGCTTTAGGGTGAGTGTCGTTTCTCCTCCTCCCTCTCTATTGGTTTGATTTTAGCTCTGCTGTTGTTATCACTGATGTTAAATGTTTCTGGCTGTATAATTTTATTTCTGCTTGAGTTTCACCAGTGTTATTGTTATAGGTTATATGTTATTGTTATGGGTATTTTTTTAAAAAAAATTCTCACTGTTAGTTGCCCCAGCAAGTAGGGGATTTTGTATGTTTGTTTGTTTAGTTAAAGGCCAGGATATAAGTAATTAAAAATAAAAAGTGCAACTTGCATGTAATTGTCAGTGCCATTCATTTATTCCTCCTTTTTTGCCAGAAGTTCACTTTGTCTGAATGTTACAGTCCCTCTGCTTTCTACACATTCTTCTTTCCCAGACCCATAACTCCCAGGTGGTAACACGGGACAGGAAGTAACATGACATCACAGCCATGGGGGCAGGAAGCCCCCTGACTTTGCCACAAAGGAATCCTCTTTAGCATTGATCAGCCTTACTTCACCATTTTGTTATTCTTCTTGGTGTGCATGCAAAAAGTGGCAGGAGATGTGGCTAAATAATTTCAAAAAGCAGTTAAAATAAATGGTAACCCTTTCGGGCCTCACAACCCAGGCCCCTGACCCATGAAGGTGAAGACTGTGGACCACAGGTTATGTCCTCAACTTGTGCAAGAACTTAATATGATTTGAGAGGATGCAGGAAACGAAATGGTACACAATAGGGTTGGTTTCTTCCATCAAAAACCATTAGCCCCTTTTCAGCCCATGTCGGGGTCTGCTATATGGAAAAGCAGGATGCAAGACGTAAATTATAATTACCGCTTTGTGTGTTTTTTGTTCCCCTTTTCCAGATTTTGTGTGGGAGACAAATTTTTCCTAAAGAACAACATGATTCTCTGCCAGACAGACTATGAGGAGGGTTTAATGAAAGAAGGTTACGCACCCCAAGTTCGCTGATCTGATTCCTCGTCACAAAGAATATTGAAGCACTACTTCTCTTTTTTTTGTTTCCTTTTTTGCTCAACATGTATAAGAAACAATGGCGGAACCTACTGAATAGCGTAGATATAGGGAGACAAGATGGTCATGTGGAATAAGAGGCGGACTGCAAATGTATGTCGTGGAAATTGCACCAGTTCACAGTTGAATGTTTATTAAAAAGATAATGTACATACTGCTGGAGTTCGGGGATTCTTTTCCTTTTGGCTTGTTGTTTGGGGTTTTGCTTCCCCCCCCCCCTTTTTTGTGTCATTTGGCATGAGATGCTTATTTTGGACTAATGTATATAATGTATTGTAATATTTGAAGCACAAATGTAATACAGTTTTATTGTGTTACCATTTGTGTTTTCCGTTTGCTTATTTGTATTGTTGCATTTAGTACAATCGGTGTCTTAAACTTATTGTATATTTATGCTTTCTGTATCTACCAGCTATTTTGAAAGAGCTGTTATCTTTCTAGTAAAAAGGGGGGAAAACATTCAGAGCCAACGCCATCCATCATTCTCTACTGAAGAAGCTTCTCAGATGATCTCGACAGTTAGACTTTTTGGATTCAATCCAGACAAAGTTAAGCATTCCTAAACCCCATCGATGTCGACAGGATATATTTAAGACCATTGCTGAACTCTGCAATGAAAACATAACATTTGGGCTTTGGTGCTTAACTTTGGGTTCTAATTGTAGGCAGCGACCATCGCTGACCGACATTCCGGGTTTCTCAGTAGACAACCCTGCAAGCTTCCACCTCCGACCCAATTCATCAACGAGTATTTGTTTTACCACGGAACTTGGGATCCACATGACCGGATCAACTTTATTGATCGGCATTTTCGGCTTTATGGAGCAGGCATTGATTTTTGGGGCTATTGTGTTGTGTAGACTCCTCCCTCTCCCCCTCCCCCCAAATTGCTTGTTTCCAATATAGCTGGGAATGGGGAGCAGAGTCCCAATGCAAATCAGTGCCTTTGGGTGTCATGTAATATATTTAAATGTATATTTCGGAAGTTATTTTAATGTAGGATAGTGATTTCTGCTCCTGTACAGAAATATTATTTAAAAAAAGAAAAGAAAAGAAAAAAAATCAATGTCTTGCCTAAACTTTTATGAGGTTTGGGTCCGGCATACCTAAGAGATTGCCTCCTTCCCTTCAGTTTGCAAAGTCTCTATGATTGCGCAACAGCGCCCTCTAGAGGCTACCATCTGTGTACCAATTTGGGGCTGACAGAGAGGCCTTCCCTAGGGGCTGCCCCACTACTAGGGAAATGGCTTCAAGCTGGAGACTTATCCAGAGCCACACAAGCTTTTTGAAACATTGTATGGCCTTTATAAAAATAATAATAATAATTTGGCCTGGTGTTTGAGGGGGAAGGGAAACGAAGACTCCCGCCCCCTTGAAAAGAAATAGTGCAGAGGTTTTAGCGTCATTTACACTGTAGATGTTTTAATCAAAAAATTTAACTGGATATTGTATTCTTTGTTTCTTAATTTATTGTTCTTAATTCCAAGTTGTTGGGTGGGTGGGGCAGTTTTAAAATAAATAAAATCTAAGGATTGGATGGCAATATCTCAAGCTGGTGCTTCTCGGTTTTTATTTATTGATGCCAATAAATCCAACACTGGTACACAGGAAAGCGGACACCTGTCTCCTGTGCTTTCACATAGACATCTTACCAGAATCTGCTTTAATATTCTCTGCCATTCTTGTTACTGCCTGGCCAATTCTTAATTCCAAGTTGTTGGGTGGGTGGGGCAGTTTTAAAATAAATAAAATCTAAGGATTGGATGGCAATATCTCAAGCTGGTGCTTCTCGGTTTTTATTTATTGATGCCAATAAATCCAACACAGGGAAGAGGACACCTGTCTCTTGTGCTTCCACATAGACACCTTACCAGAATCTGCTTTAATACTCTCTGCCATTCTTGTTACTGCCTGGCCAGTTCTACATTCCTTTCACCCACTTTGGTGGCCATACAACAAGGTTTTCCTAGCCTGAGTGATCCTTTTGTTGGTTATTTTATCTTGTCAGCTACTGCTTCATGCAGGAGTCTTTGGTCTCGTCTGTTACAAGAAACCTAGCCCTTGAACTCAGAAGCCTACACTTAGGGTTGGTTCTCGGGTTGGGATGGTCCCTGGCACAGAGTGCCCAGGTTGCTCACCATCTGCCCCCCTTCTACCACCAGCCTTTATGCCCCTTTCTCTCACCCAGCTACCAGCTTGTGAGCTATCAACTATATGCCCTTCTCCCAACAGTGCTGGGTAACCATGTGGCCAGCAGGATGGGTGGAGGGAGGACTTAAACGTGAGTTGATGGGCCTGGCAGCCAGGCCCGTAGCCAGGATGTCCCTGATGGGGTGGGGAGGGGGATCGGCATGCCCATTGCTCCTGTTGAGAAGGACATGGGGGAGGCATGGCCTTTGCAGGCCATGCTTCTGGTCAGTTTCACTCCCCTCCAGCTCCCAACAGTGCTGGGTAACCATGTGGCCAGAAGGATGGGTGGACTTAAAAGTGAGTTGATGGGCATGGCAGCCAGGCCCATAGCCAGGATATCCCTGGGGGTGGGGAGGGGGATCGGCACGCCCATTGCTCCTGTTGAGAAGGACATGGGGGAGGCATGGCCTTTGCAGGCCATGCTTCTGGTCAGTTTCACTCCCCTCCAGCGCTGATCAGTGGGAGTGAAACTGACCAGAAGAGGCATGGGAGCTTCTCTTTCCTTCCCCAGCCTCCCCAGCATTTATACTGATACACCGGGAGTGGGGTGGGTCTGGCATCTTCCCGGGGTGGGGCAGGGCTTGTAGGTGGTAGGGCTCTGCCCCCAAATGCCCCACCGTGGCTACGGGCCTGATGGCAGCAGTGTACCCCTCTAGAAGCCCTGGGCCCAGCTGCCTCACCTTGGGATATGCTGGTGGCAGTCCTACTTGTACTCTGCTCTGTAGAGCTCTGCCAGAAAGATCAGCTGGCCTCAGTGCCCTATCATTTCTCCATCCATGAACACATGAAACTGCCTGCTACTGTATCTTTGGTCCATCAAAGTCATCTGCTCAGACTGGCAGCACCTCTCCAAGGTCTCAGGCAAAGGTCTTTCACATCAGCTACTGCCAGATCGTTTAACCGGAGATGCCGGGGATTGAACCTGGGACCTTCTGCATGCCAAGCAGATGATCTACCACTGTGCCACGGCCCCTCCCATCTACTGCTACCATATATAAGTGACTGGGAAACTACAAAAGCAGTGGTAGTGGAAGACAAAGGATTCATTCTTGTTAGCAACCGGACAAGATCAAGATTTTCCTTTAAAATAGCATGATAACAAATGTAATGATGTATAGGCATACCAGTACATATGATATTATGAAAAGTATGGCATGAGAACCATGATAGCTAAATTTAGCTTCAATGTACAGAGGAAGCATTCAGACTACCAGAGTCTGGGGACAATTAAGAGGGCTGTTACCTTCATGCCCTACTTGTGGGTGTTCTGGAGCCATCTGGCTTGCAGCTGGATCAGATAGACCCTTGGTCTGATCTATCGGCTGTTCTTAAGGGTCTTTTTAATAAATGCCACACCTGAGCTCATAGTGCTAAGAACGGGGAATGTGCAAAGGTTAGTATTTGGATCATGGCTGGAAATGAAATGAAATCCAACTCTAACTCATTAAGGTACCGTTGACTTGGTCTGTGCTCAAATCCTGTAACCCTGACCCCGCTCTTCTGCTAATTCCACCTTACATGGTCCTTCCTAACTGCTTAGTTAATAAACCTTGTATCACTGTATCCCTGCATTATAAAATGAGACACTTTCCAAAATCCCCATGGATTGGCATACTTATGTCAAGCTGAGATGAAACAGTAATCATGGAAATATTTGTTTTCTCATTCATTGATGCGAGTTACCATGTACATTTGGTATGTAAAGTTGGTAGCTTGGCACCTTGAGAATTCTGTGATGATTTCACTTGATCTTTTTGGCCTGTGGCAATTAGAACATTTGCTTTCGGCTCTCGGCAAAGAGGCTTTTAGTATTTCTTGGCCAGAGAGTTCTGAATTGATGCTTAAAGAATGAAGAAATCATGGCTGGATATCAATGGTTCTTCAAAATAATGGCTTCTACAACTTCCTGTAGGCAGTTAGCAATGATTTGGAATCTCTAGAACTCCAAGAATGAGGAAGACCATTGTGATGGAAAGATACCTTTGAAAAACCCTTTACACTATTATAATGCATATCATTGTTTGCAGTGATCAATTCTCAACATGTCACCAGTCAGGAACATGATAAGATGTATCATATAAATCAGGTTAAACTCCCAGTTCTTTTCAGGATCCATTCTCCTCTTCTGTAAAGGTGTAGAACACATACTCAAGCAGTGCTAACTCAAAAGTGTACTGCAAGCTTGTCTGATTCCCATTCTATTGTTAGGAGATCATCTGCTGCTCACAGGTGCTTGTGACAAAGAACAGTGAGCAAAGGAGAAAAATGTTCAGCGAGCAACAGTGGAATGGGTATGGGTAGAGTAAAAACAGAAGTAACGGGTGCAGCGAAATGTGATGAAAGAGGAACAGCTCTGAGACTCCCGAGTGAAGGGCGGGGTATAAATCCAATCTCTTCTTCTTCTTCTTCTTCTAATATTGCTTTTTCATTTCTTTACATAGAATGCCAGCACTCATTTCCAGGTATGTCCTTTGTTCCCCCTTTTCCTGGCAGAGCTTCTCTGATCTGCTGAAAGAATTATTCAAATAACCGGAAGCTGGGGAGAAAGCCACTTAAAAGGTGGTGATTGGCTGTAGCCCTCCTGCTACATACTTGAACCTAGCCATCCCCCTGAAAATCTGGGTAAGAGAAGAGTTTGCAATATTTGGCTTAACTACGTGATTACAGAGTCCCTTGGTGGCAGACACCATCAGTTACTAGTCCTTCTCTGCATGCCGCACTTGTCTGTCTTGAAATACCTTGGCATTTTTCAATCAAACATGGATGACCCACACCGCCTAGCTTTTTCTGATGGTTCTTGAGGACCAGTGCCTGAATTCCAAGCAGCCAACATCTGAAGAAAAGACTGGTTGAAATGGATTCAATAATAATAATAATAATATACTTTATTTTCATTGTACATAGTACAACGAAATTAAAGATGCAACCATTTCGGTGATCTACAA